ATTGCAGATTACATCCTCCTTTTGCAATGTCACATGGTGGTGTTCCTCTTGTTCTTTCTCATTTTGTCGGTCGTCCCCGTCCTCACCACGCTCTGATTGCTCACCTGACTGTGTCCCGATATCAATGACATCATCGTCATCCTCTCTCTTGCGCTTGGGCTGTTGATGCTTGTCGCCAACCGTCGTGGTTCGTTGAAGTTCGTCGTCGTCTCTTCCCATTGAGGCCACAACGTTATTTTTCCTCTGCACACCAACTGGCCCACTCTCGAGTACGCCGCCGTCAGAAAGAAGTCGATGCATCAAATCAGGTGTGTTCTCTGACAAATCTTTTATCCCCTTCAAGTGTGGCACCGACTCTTCTCTCGTCAGCTCAGTTCCTTGCATGGACATTGGCTCCGCGACCATTTGCGGTTCCTACCCCGTGCAAACCTTGGGAGATTCCATTGTTGCGAAGCGATCCGCTGACTCTTTGTCCTCCGCGGAATCCTCCTGTTGCAGTGGAGTGTGGAACGATTGATGTTCGGCCTGCACTCTATCTCTTCATGACTCGTCGTTGTCGCCCACAAATTTTTCTATATCATTCCTCTCTCATCCACTTGCTCGTCACTATGAACGGAGCTCGTGAATGGACGTCCTGTTGTGCTCGTCAAAGCGTGGACACCGTCATGTCCCAATTGTTGACTGTTACCAAGACGTATTTCACCTTCAAACTCTTGCAGCACTTCTCGACTAGGCAATTTCCAAGGGATCTGACCGTGCGACACACTAGATTCAATGTCATAAAAGTTTGCGTTGTACTCCAGCATGTTCTGATCTCGCAACTTGTCATAAAGTGTGTCGGCATATGCTCCTTGTGCAAGGCTGTCCGATCCACCGTTCGTCTGCCGCACTTTGATATGAACCTGTTCCTTTGCGATTTCGAAAAACTTGCTCTTCAATACCCGCTTTCGCAATTGCCACGGGCCATCGATGCATACAGCCATGTGCCATTTCCCGTTCCATACGCAGGGCTCGAAGACCTTCGGGTGCCACAATATATGATGCCCTAATTGGTGGTCTTCTGTCTCAACCACTGTCCCACTGTGCTGCAGGAAGTGCACGCCTCCGGTAAACTCCTTCATGTCCTCTCGAATTGTGTCTCCTGGCATCAGTTTGTCATCCTCGCCGGGCGGGAGTGCAAATTTGATGGCGTTGACGTCCATTCTGCCAACCTGTTCATTTTCCTCCAGGGGCACATTATATTGGTTCTCTCTTGGGATCTTTGACAGGCCCATGGTCACATACACGTTGTCCAGCTGAGTCAATATCCCTGGGTATCTGGCACTGCTTTCCTTGCCTTTGGATTGGAGATGTGGCTTTTTTCCACTTAACGAGGCCATCCCTGACCGCAACCCTTCTTTGTTGTTGTTCTTGCTTGCATTGCATGCACCAACTGGCCCTCGGATCTCATTCCCTGCACTCTCTTGCATTCCTTGTTCACACGACCTCTGCTCCCCACCATGAATGCTCTCCCGGCTTGCCACGACATCTGTTTCTATCCCCTTCATTGCCGGACGACCCTCGCCACCGTCCAACGCCTGTTGAACATCTTCTTGAGCATCCGGTACAGGGAGATCCATATTGTCGTCTGATGTCTCCTCCTCTCTGTCGAGCACATCGAAGTGCTCACCCGCATCCAGCTCATCGACGTATGTCTTCGCACGCAGTCTGTCCTCTTGTTTGTTGAACCACAAACGCTCACACCGCGCTATGAATATTTCAATCTCACAATTTTTCGCCTCATGGTAGCCTTGGATATGTTGGATGGCAATCACTTTTCGGTGCATATAACCGATGTCCTTTGGAGTCTTCGGGGCGTTGTCGAACAAGTATTTCCACAGAGAGTCTCTCTTCTTGCCAAGCTTGAGGTACATGTCTCTCTCTGGAAGCCACGGAGTTTTGGGTCGTTCGAAGTGGTAACAACTTTCTGACCTGTGGACCTGTATATAGAGGAATGTGGACA